AAGAATTAGGATCTAGCAACAATTTATCAAAATTTTAACCCAAAACTACTATCATTTATTTTCCTTAACAAACGAGTTCATAAACTTGGAATAATACTTAAACTTTAATTTTTGGTTTTATTAGTCATCTTTAAACTCAAAAAAATATTTAAAATTTAAAAACTGTTTAAAAAAACACTAATTTAACATGTTTTTTTTTTAATTTAAGTAGCGAGTGCGCTTATGGTCAAGATTACTAATCGCCGATTAACAAACGAGCTCGTAAAAAGCAATAAACTTTTAATGGTTATTTTAACAGCGTAGTTTTACCACTATTGAACAACAATATTTTGATTTTTCTGAGTATTAAACCAAAAAAATATGACAAAAGTGAAAATAACACAAAATTAATTATATAACCAAAAATAAAGTTTCTGAGATCGGTTTCTTTACTTTTGTTACTTACTAAATTTAACTAGCGAGCGCGGTGACCGTCAATTAACCACCGGTTAACACACGAATAAATTTTGTTGATTTTTGTAGTTTTTTTTTTTCACATTTTTTTCTTTTCTATCCAATTCTCTTGCACAAAGTCGGCATTTTCGCACAAAAGAGTTATCTTTCAACCTTTGGAATGACATTCCGTGTCAATTATTCGAAATCACGTCACAGAGCTAATTATATTAGAAAGTAAATAAGTTTGAGTTACACAATTCCCATTTTTCGAAACTTTAGTAAACTCCGAACGTGCCGCAACAAAACATCGTTATTTATTCCGAATCGAGCATTCCGCACAGTTAAAAACCTCGATTTTGAGCTCGAAGAAATGCCTCTAACGGATCTACCGGAACGATTTGGATGATGGATTGAGTAGCGACGTGAAGATTTGTCAAAGTGTTAATTACTGTCGACAAGTGACAAGCTTCTAATTAACACGACGTGTCACGAATTAAATGCTACATTTTTTCTATCTCTGTGAACCTTGACATTGTTGTATTTTGTTACGGTTGAAATGTACCGTAAGGATAAATGATCGTTTTCGGGGTTTTTTTAGTGTGTCAGACTGAAAGTAAATACGTTGTGATGTCTGAATATGCAAATTTGATTATTTTAGTTCGAAGAAATGTGTCGATGGTAAATCACTGAACAGTTAGAATTGCCTCCGAGAGGTTCGATTTCGTTCAATGTGTGGCGCGGAAACAGAAAAATTTTATTCGTCACGAAAAAATTATCGGCTTGGATAAAATTACTATTTTTTAATAAAGTTTCGATTTTTCGTTTCAAAATGTTAAAATTAGTTCAAGATTCTCAATCTTTTCTACGATATTTAAACTATAAACTTCAAAAAGACAAGATAATAGAGAAAAAAATTAAAACAACTATTAAATTTGAATATTGAAAAAAAAAATGCATTCTACCTCTTTATCTTTTCAAGATCGTGATATTTGTCTTGAAATATTGTTCATTAATAACAAGATTTTAAATTTTATCTTAAAACTCAAGTTCAAACTTACAAAATCTCAACCTTGTTTAATGAATTTAAGAGTGCAAAGAAAAGATAATAAAAAGAAAATTTCAAATACAAAGAGAAAATCTTTTTTATTGTTTCAAAATCGTGATCTTTGTCTAAAAATATCTCATTAAAACCAAAATCTTTAATTTTAGATTTTATGTTAACATTGTACAAGACCAAATTTACAAGACTACAAAAAAACAGTATTTTGACATTTTGAGAAAAATAAACAATAGTAGTTTTGGGTTAATATTCTGAAAATCGTTGCAAGATCCTAATTCTTTATTTCAAGATATTAATTAATTTGGAGTGATAACAACGGTAAATAAAATAGCCAAAATAATCTACCAAAATCTTAAAATTGTTTATCCAAATCAAAATTTTTAATATTATTTTGAGACTATATTAAAGATTTTGAATTCAGACTTTTTTTCTCAAGATATTTATATTGATATTGTTTTAAGACCTAAAAATCGTTTGAATATATATATTTTTAAAATTTGAAACAAAGAGCGAATATAATAAAAGAATGAAATTTCAATTATCATAAGATTCTGATTTTAAAGATTTAAATTGAGTTTTTTGAGAAAAAGATTSTCTATCTCAAGAAATTTGAAACTATACTTTTTCAAGATCTCAGCATCGTTTAACCAGTTCTAACATTGTAAATAAAAAACCAAGATAACAGATAAAGATAAACTCAAAACGATTAACGAAAACAGTCTTTTTATCATAAAGAATAAAAAAACAAAGTCTTAGCTCAAAAAATATTTTTGACGAATGAAATAAAAGAGCACGTTTTATTACTGAAAGGAAAACAGAGAAAGTTCAAATTTAATCCTTAAAAATTATTATTACGAAATTCAAATTTAATTTTTTCTTTAGAAATTCAATTTCTAATTTAAACTAGACATTTAAAGGTTACACATCTAATTTTATCAAAATATGTTTTTAGTAAAATTTTTCTAATTATCTTAAATATTACAAAAAATTGCAAGTGAAACTAATTTTCGAATAATATTTTTTTTTTGGAAAAATCTCATTTTTTTAAAACCTCTCTATATAGAATTTTCAAATTTGAAGTATCAATTATACTTAATAAGAGCTACTTTTGGCCCTTTGGAAACAACATAGCTTTACAAGTTTTTAATCAAAAAAATTATCACATTTTATTTTACGAAATATGTTTCTTATTAATCATCTTAAAAATTACAAAAAAATGCAGATGAAACAAAAATAGTATACTGGGTGCACTTAAATTTGGAAAAATCT